AAAAAAACTAATTCGGGATGCTTTACACTTGTGTTCTTTAAGAACATCTGGTTACTATTTGACACAGTTGTTGTGGTTTTTGCACAATGTATGCAGCAAAAGGAGATTCATTTTGCAGCAAGCGACGATGGAAGTCGATGCAAAAGAAAAGACGCTTAAGGCAAAGCAAAAGGAATATGCTGTGTGTCATAGCGCTGTGGAAAATCAGAGGAGTATGATACAGGACGAGCAGAGGAAGAAACACGAGTTGAAATCATCTGTGGAAGAGGTGTTTTTTCCTTTTATGTGTTAAATTATGAACTTGCTTATTAGGATACGGCTTTAATCGATTCCCGAAAGCGTGAATTCCAGAAACTGCAGCTGAGCATCGCTGGAAAGGTCGAGGAAGCGGAGCGCGATCGTGTGGCCCTCGAGTTAGCTCGAAAGCGAGTAGCTGCGTTGTCAGTTGGCATGGTCGTCGATAAAAGTGGAGAGCGTGTTTCTTTGAAAAAACAGCTTATGGGTAGAGTGAATGTGATTCCTGTGTCAGATTAATTTGAATAGTTTTTAGATACTAGAAAGGCTATCTCTGGCATAGAAATCGAAAATGCGCGAATTAACACAAAGTAAGTTTTCATCGATTTGGTACCTGTGTTATTAAATATCATATTTGACCAGTTTACATGCTTTATTTCACAGTTTTAGGGACCCGCGGGAGGGGCTGATTTTAGCTTATTGGGAATAATTTATGGTTTAACATTCTGCTCTACGATGCTTTTACGCTATTACTGTGCTTGATTTTATCCAGCTGAACAGAACTTGCACTTGCGCAGCTTTTTTCTGTTATAGTAAGTAAAATATTTCCATTAATAGATCACACTTCGCAAAATTATGGGTATTTTATGCAAATGTATATTTCAGTTGATGGATCATCGACGCAAGTCGCATTTACTGAAATCTCTAATGAGCACTTAGTTTACATTTGTTAGTAATTTTTGAAGTCCTGACACAGAGTGCACGAACAAATTATCACAAAATGGTGTAATTCATGACTGCATTATGCTTCATAAATTGTCCAGTGACAGACTTCGCGGTGTTACCTGAAATGGAAAATAAACGTATGCTAAGAGAGTATACAGTAGATTTATACTCATCTAAAGCTCAGAAACGCTCAAATTGTTAGCGACAATGATATAGATTGAAAACACCATTGGACTGGATCAACTTTTGGCTAATGCAGCATTTAGTAAACGAGTATACGTGTCTACATTGCCACATCATTTCTGTTAGTATCTGTTAGTATTTTTCTATTTCAGATTAACAACGCTGAACACAGGCATTAAAAAACAAAAAGAAAGTTTGGACAAGAGAAAGAAGGCCGAGTATGATTCTATTTCTTCCAAAATTGAAACTCTGAAGGTGGAAGTCAACCATTTGCAAGTACTAGTTTTTTTCTCATGCCTCATCGTACATTTGTGATCGCCTTCCTAAAATTTAATGTGCTCCTAATCTGTATTTTTAGTCACTCGTTGGGGTTACAGTATAAAATGAACCACTGTTTTCTGGTCAACGTTCCGCATAATATGGCCCAGTATTTTTTTAAAATTCATTCAGCGTCTTATTAGGTTATAGACGAAGTCCTCTGTTTACCACTGAATTAACACCCAGTTTCGTATTGTGCCAATAACCATCACAGTTGACCACCATTGTCAGCTATGTAGCTTCCAACTACGCCGTTGCCTGTCGCAAGCCCGGTTGAGAAGCGAGGAGGATTGGGAACCGTGACAAAGTCTCCGTAAAAATTCGCCACCTGTCACTTATGATATTGACGCCATCGAAAAATATACCGCTTCAGTCGTCGCCCGGGCTACCAAAGGTTCAAACGGGCTGTTGGGAGACTGAGGCACATTGCGAAAAGTAGATGATCAGAACCTGCTGATCACCCTCTCTCAGCCAGGGGCGTAGCAGTACAACAACGGCTGAGGAAAATCGGCGGAACGACGACGAAGATACCAGTCGCCAACGGAGTCGCTACCCTTTCTTAACGGAGGAGGCAGACATCGCGATACCATTATAGCATGTCAGAAAAGGGTCCACGAGAAGGATACCACCAGTGGTAG